AATAGAAAAATATTCAGAAGTTAACATTACAGTGCTCTAAGTTAAGTTCTAAGGTAAGCATTGTCCCCTCACACTGGTCTCCGTCCAGGATTCACTGCCTGCACGCTGCTCCAGGAGCTGCTTCCTATGTGCTGCTGTGGGGCTTCTTCCCCATGCTGCTCTGGGCTCACAGCTCGCAGTGTTCTGGGGCTGACAGGGTGCACCTACAAGCCCCCAAAGCACAAGGCCAAGCTGCCCGAGCTGCTTCTGCCGCTGGACTCAGTCCGTGCTCTCTTCCGTCCGCCGTGGGACACAGCCCACTCACTCCACAACTCCACTCTCTGTGGGGGAGTGGGGGAGAGAAGGAAGGGAAAATCACAAGAGGGGAAAAAAGAAGACGGAAAAATGGTGAAGGGACTGGTGAGCAGAAGACCTCCAATCAGAGTGTCCTACTCTGCTGCTATCTTGACCAACTAACAATATAAAGAATTCCATCGTTCCATCTCATACGATGAACAACATGAAAATTGTATTATTCTAGACTTTACAGGTTCCTGTGATTTATTGTCCATAAAACCATCCACTTAAATGTTATGCCTTGTCAGTTTTCATTTAAACTTCCTGACATTGCTACAAATCAGTTTATTAAACACACCCAAGTGAAATGAAATACTACATCAACAAATCATAGGTTAATGCAATTCAGTGATTTTGAAATCACCATATATGACCAAAATTTTGTCAAAATGTTTTTATTCATTAAAAAAGCAGAAACACCAAGAAGCTTTTTATAATTTTTTATAATTATTTTTATAATTAAAACTATTGCAGTGAAGCAAAACACGACAAAGACCCGCAATAACCACATGGAAGGAGCATGAAGCAAGCACTGTGTGTCATACCGCTGTGATTGGATAAATTCCTAGTCCCAACCACCGCCCTTGACGACATCACTCCTGTGACACTATCTCTAACTTTTGATGAGCTAAGTAGCCAGGAGGTAAGGTCAGTGCCCAGTTAGAAGCACGAAGCTCCTCTGAAAGGCAGGAGCTTCCTGCCTGGCACTAATCTGAAGCTGGATGAGAAGGGCCTGGGAAGAAATACGAGTGTCTAGCATCCATACTGGCACAGGTCGGTATTACAATTAAATCACGACGACAAATAGATATTTTATGTGGCCCCTCAATTAACCCAAAAGCTAAGCACTAAAGTGCATCAAATTGTTTAGTTTAACCAAAACACAGTTTAAAAATTCCATTCCACACGAGGCAGGTGCTTGAACAAGCTCTTTGTGGAGATTGGGGCCATTAATCGGTAGCATTTGGGTTTCTCATCTCTCCCATCACCAGTCCTTTTAAAAATTGCAAACTCTCTGCAATGGGTGGGAACACTGAAATGACCTCTGTTATTTCAAAAATGCACCTGCTATAGATCCCAAACCATCAGCCTTTTGAAAATCTAACTCTTGGCTCACACAAAATATATGTCTCAGCTATTTGGATTCCCAGTTCCTTTGAAAACCATGATTCTACGACAGGCAATTCAGGGTAAAGTGAGCCCTGTACAGGTACATGGCCTGCTCAGGTACACTGAGTACAAGTTATCATCCAATGATTATACAGATGCAAATACTAGCGATTGAGGAACACAATCAGAAAAGACAAATAACTGAAAGGACAAGAAACAATCATACTGTGGCAAATAATCGGTTGTTCGTTTTTTCCTCACAGCAATTTCATGTCACAAAAAAAGTTGCCTTTTATCTGTCCTGCTATCAGCAGCTTAAGTGACTCAACTGAAATAACACCCGCAATGGAGACCATTCCTTCATACCACCTCCAGACCCTGGCATTTAAAGCAAAAATTATGCATACATTTGCACATAAGTCTGACAAGACAATACCCCTACAAATTATAAAAGGATGGGCCTTGTTAAAGGAAGGAGGTGGTGATGGGATGTGGGTTGTGGTGGTGATGCAGCACACCAGATAGCCTTAACCCATTTATAACCCCATCAATCTAGAAACTCACAAGGCTTTCTAACCTGTTTCTAAGCCTCAACAGTGCCTTTTGGCTGAACATACAATTTATAAAAAGTCAAGTGGTGAGTGGGGCTATTTACATCATTGCTCCACCTTAGTAAATAATTGACAGAAAGGGAAAAATTGAAAGAGAAATCTCCACCCATATACAGTTGGAAACCAGTCATTCTGAATTTCAGAAGGATCAGAAACAGACAGGAGCTTCATTCATGCATGCAACATTTGTCTGCAGTCCCCTGTGTGTTTTGAGCATTAAAGACTTCCTTCCATCTCTCTACCATTGAAAAACCTTGTTCCATTTTACCCTTGAGGCTTCAACCATTTTGTTTTGTGGGACAGCCACAACCCGATGAGAATTGGTTTTCCCAGTGGATTCACTGCCTTCTAGCTGCGGAACTGCTCAAAGCGGTGTACTTCTTGCCCACAGTGTATCTCTTGCATACAACAAAAGCTGCTCAAGTCTCCCCACTGATTGTATTTGAAGGCAAAACAGAGTTTCCACTCAACTCCAACTTGATCTATCTAATTGTTGGAAGTCATTACTTGTATTGGTTGGGTGGTCAGGTCCTAAAAGAAACTAATTCACAAATAGCTATGAGAGATAAGCGTCAGAGTCAGAATTAGGTTGTGCTTTGATGTCATCTCTCCTCCAGTTTTAATATAACTTCAGTATATTAGACAGGATTTCCTAAGCCAAGTGATTGAAGAGGTTATTGGCAAAAACCTGCTCACCATTCAGTCTGCATTCCTCCAGCACCACTCAGCACCTGCCCTCATTATAACCTTGGATCAAACTTGGACAAAAGAGCTGATCTTCCAAAGTGAGGAGTGAGTGACTGGCCTTAACATCAAAGCAGCATTTGACTGAGTGCATCATCGAGGAGTCCTAGCAAAACTGTGATGCGTGACAAGCAGGGGAAATCTCCCCACACACAAATAGCAGCCACAGCAATGGTTGCTGATACAGGCCTGAATGTGGCCTACTTCCGTGATATACCTTCACCATTTCCACACCCCACCAACTACTAATTTGGCACCTTTCCCTCCTCTAAAGTTATTAAGATGCTGAAACCATGCAAATTGTGCTGCCAGATAAGGTGGAGATGGAGAAGGAGTTGGTTTTGCGATGTGGTATTGAACACAACACCCGATTGCTAGCTCTGACAGGTGTTGATCTTTAAACACAAAGCCACCTTTAAACCTCAAATCTAGATGCTGCCCAAAAAAATGCATTGAAACATGTTACCTCCAAACCTACCTGACCTTTTATTTTAATAAATGCTGTGGCACACAAAAAGGACATTTTAAGCAAAGAAACAAACCCAAGTGGAAAAGTGACTTCTGCGGCATGAAGAGATATCCTAGTTACAAAGTTCGGGAGCATGCTTAACATTGTCACAAGAGTGACAGAAAATTAAGCTTAACCCATCCAGCAGTTTAATCTTCATCACATGAATAAAATAAATATCTTAAATCAGCAGGGTTTGTTTCATCAGGTAAATGAGGTTAGCTCACAGGCAATATGGCACCCATTATTTCATGCAATTATGTTAACATTGCCACCTATCTGTTTATACATAAAAGTTTAGCAGTCGTGATCATCAGAATGCCACAAGGAGTCAGGCCCCTTTTTGTTATTGAAAAAGTTGAAGAGATGCTAACAGCTACTTTCCATATGATCTAACAAAGCAACAGTCCATTCTTTCCTGGAGATTATTTTTTCAAGTGTATGTAAATTTCTCTGCAATCTTCAATGGGGCTTCAAAATCGCCTGCAAATCATGTGGATGGCAAATAGTTACATTAATCTCCTCCAAGATCATTTCTGTGAAAAATGCCTACACAAAGAAGCTGCGCACTATTTAAACAAATTACTTGGCTTCAAGAATTTCAATAAAAATAGCTGTCAGTGAATAAAGTGCTGCTTAGTGATGAATGCCTGAAAACATCTCTTCAATTGACTTTGAGAAGATTAGTTGAAAGTTATCACTGCATTATTTTCCCAATTACTCTGATTAATATTTCAAATTGAGGCAAAATGGAAAATTGAAATCTGCACAATTGCCTAATAACTTACTTTCAATCTCCTGCAATATTATTTTAACATTAGATTATAACAAACATTCATTTCACTCAGCGACAAAATTCAGGTCATACATCGCAGATATGGTCACACAAGAAAGAGCACAGATTCTATTTCAGATTTCTGTAATGTCAGTGTAAACCAGCCTTAAGGCAGCTTATTTTTACTGAGCTTTGTGAAAACACATAGAATAATGACACAACATCAGCTTTCGCCCAGAGTTTCATCTGAAGTTGCAGCATAGATTATGGGTAGTGCCTTTCTTCTGCTGCAGCATCAGAATATAAAAGATGGAAAACTGATCTTAAATCCATTTGGTTTTATAAATCTTTGCATCTTGCAGTGTGACAACAGTCAATCCTTTAAAGTAAACAGTTGATTTTAGGCAAAGATTCCTGTCCCTGGAAAGATGCAACAGGAGATTCAAAATTTGAAGGATTGATATGTTTAGAATTTCAAGGCAAATAGCCACATCTTACTGGTGACAACTTTTGTAACTTTGACCTGTCTGACTAAAAAAGGTGTTCCCTGCTTATGCAATTCTCAACAAACATAACATTACAACATTCAGAATTCAACAACTAACAAGATTGAGACCACCACAACAACTAAATAAAGGGACCAATCTGATGAACTCGCTGATTCTCTACGTGTATTTAATTAATAAACATTGCAATACAGATGTTTTAAAAACTATCCACGCCTACAAATAAATTTATCTGCAATCTTCAAAAGGTCTAAAACCATTTGCAATTCAAGCTGGTTGAAATACTTAAAATGTTTCCAAATTGGATACTTATCTCATGAAAATATCACCTCAAAAGAGCTGTGCACTGTTATAAAAGATGTTACTTGATGCTTTGAAAACAAAAATGAGATAACAATCACTGCACTTGCCATATTGTTGGTGCATCAGTCCCACTAATCTCGAGGATGTCATATCCATCTTCAAGCTGGAAATCAGAGAAGATGAGTGCAATGGTATCACCAGGCTCCGCCAGGATAGTCCACGTGCAGTCAGCATTATTACCGTATTCTGATGGGAAGTGTGGACTGGAAATCATTCCGCTGGTACCTCGCAATGTCCCGCCACATGCACCTTCAGCTGCAACAGATGGACAGGATAAACAGATGAAGCATAGTTTGCAATCAGGGATCACATCTTCCGCTCAATGCTGAAACAATTTGTTTCATCACAGGCAACATTCTCCCAACAAAACATATATCTGAAGGAAGGTTAAGAATTTCAAGTAGCTTCACAGTACTCTGAAATAAAGTTATATATACTGGCACTTTTATCTAACAATTATCAAAGAAATGGAAAATGGGTAGACCAATTAAATGTACATTTGCAACATAACTAATATTAAATTTCGGAGTCTTACAATCATATATATCTATTTTCTTCTGGGATTGATGAAGTGCAAATGAGTTGACATTCAAATTAGAGTAACACCTCAGAGGATTTAGCAGTCAGGTATAATACAACTGGCATTTAGTCAAGTCAAATAATTGCCTTTATTTTGTTAACAAAGAATAACTCTCAGTGTAGATGAGTATTATATAATCTGAACTGCCATTTACCTTGAATCTATGAATTGTTACAGCTTTTAATTACAATAGCAGTGAATGATTTTCTGGACACCATTATTAGGTTTCACCCTTTTCTTTCTTTGACATTGCAATTTCAAAGTAAGCAGGAAATGCTGAAAAAAGTCAGAAGTTAGGCAAAGTTTTAGTTTTCGACAAAGGGGTGTCAAATTTAAAACAGCGATGAGGAGGAAGTATTTATTTCAAAGGGTCAGGAATCTGTGAAATTCACTATCCTGGATTACGGTGGATGCCAGGCCATTGAGTAAGTTTAAGGAGGAAATTGACACTTTTTTTTAACTAATTATGGGTTGAAGAGTTATGGACAGTGTATAGGAAGGTGGCAATGAGGCCGAGATGAGAACTGCCATGATTATATTGAATAGCAGAGCAGCCTCGAGGGGCTGAATTGCCTATTCCGGATCCTGGTCCTTATATTCTGGTGAATAATAAATCCAGGGAGTTTAGCAAGCTCCTGGCAACGGCAATGTGATAATTGTCAGAGATATTTATTATTAGTAATGTATTGATTGAGGGTAAAAAATTGGCCAAGACACCAAAGAAAATATCAAAAATGCCACAGTTCTTCTTTGATTCAAGTCATGAAATTTACCCCTGGAGAGGGTAAGTTAAGATGAGCATCTCATCCAAAGAATGCCGTTTTGACGTTCCCTTGACCAGCCTTGATGAAGAACTCAGGCCTCCGTAATGGGACTTAACCTACAACCATTTGGTTCAGAAGTAAAGGTGTTATTCACTGATACACAGATGACACTTGTAAACAGAAAATCATATTAAATATTTGCATTCAAAAATAATTGGGACAAACGGAATGGAAGTTATGGCATTTTAACAGCCAATGATGGTTGGCATGAGGTCAGATGGGAAGATAAATATTTTTAAGTTCTCAAACATGAGCCCAAACAGTTTTCAACCTGGCTTGCATTCACTTTTAAGGGAGAGAGTTCACTGCACGCTGTCCCAGCGCAATATCCAATAGCTCTTTATCTGTAATGTCTCATGTCAAAGTTTGCCCTGACCCCCACAATATCTGACTCTACTGCCATAAGTGGCTTGAAACAACCAACACTCAGTCTTCACATATAAGATACTTGATATCCCTCAAACGTCTGATCTCTGCCCTTACAACGTCCGATACTTCGAGTCTATCCATATTATCTGCAACAACTTTCTCCAACCCAAACCATCTTGTCCGATTAGTACCGCAATGCCAGTGCCCTAACTATAATGTCAGATTCCACCTCCCTACTTCAAAACATTCATATGATTTAATGGAGGTTTTAACAAAGATCTGTAGCTCAAGTTGCGGTTGAAGTTGTTTGATTGGTTCACTGTGCTGATTGGTTTTCACGCAAAAGTTTTGACTTTCTCCTAGGTGACATCGTCAGTGTTTTGTAGCCTCCGTTGAAGTGCTGTTGTTCTGACCCATTCTGAATTTATATGGTTTGGTCTGTCATGGTGGGCAGTCTTGTTTCCGGTTTTGTACCATAGTTGTATGTAAATGGGGTCTATTTCAACATGTTTGCTAATTGTATCAGTGGTTGAAAACCAGGCCTCCAGGAATTCTCATGCTTGTCTTTGTCTCACTTGTCCTACTACTGTAACTTTGTTCCAGTTAAATTGATGTCCTTCTATATCGAAGTGCATTGAAACAAGGGAGAGTTGGTTGTGCAGTTTTGCTGCGAGTTGGTGTGTTGACAATCTCTCTGTTTGTTGATTTTCTAAACCTCACCCACATCAAACTATTGTCCGGTCCAATTGGTTACCCATTTGCTCACTTGATGCTTGCATCCCTGTGAATCTAGCTGGACTGGAAACAAAAATAAAGCCCAGGCATTAAATTCTACAGAGCAAGAGGAATCTTTCTGGCTCTGAGTTAGTAACATGGCATGGAAGTTAGCCAATTTGGAGAGATTATTACGCTTTGCAAGAAAAGTTAAACCTGTCCACCTCCATTTCAACTCTTACACAATCCTAATTCAGATATATATTAAAGTTCTTTTACTGTGGCTGGTTCAAAATCCTGAAATCTTCTACCTGGCACCTTTGCAGAATCCCTTCAGGGGTTACAATGGGTCAAATGATTGACCAAGTACCATTTTCTCAGGGTGACAAAAGATAAACAACAAATGGAGCTTTGTCAGTTAATCTACGTCTCATCATGGAATTACAAATATGAAGGGGTGATATCATTAGTGGGATGATGTGAACGTTTGCATTGACAAAAGGGGAGGTAGGCAAAACAATGAAGATGTTAACAAATGAATACTAATCTGGATGTGAATAAATACTGGAGATGGGGATAGGTGAACAGTGATGTAGTGACATTGCAATTCTAAACTCAAAGTTACACTGCTGTCTTGAAGATTTGGAAACAGCTAAATTTCAACCTATGAGGAAAACTTCAAACATGTTTTTAAAAAAACTACAAAAAAACTGTAGGGTCACTTTTCAACATATAGTGGACAAGAAAATCATATTACTGCTGAATATTTTCCTGACACGCACTTTGATTATGTGGAACTCAGCACCAAGGGATAAATTCATGTGGTCTTAATCCTACTTCCTTATATGTATTTTTTTACAGGGATATAGTATTGGATGAGCACACACTGTGTCTTACAAAATGGATAAATGTCAATGTTAAAATATCAAAGTAATGCCATATAAATGTATTGAGTACTCATTGGTTACTATCATTCACTACGACGCACAAATGTATCCGCAATAGAAGAAGTGAAATAAATCCCAAACTCTGGAGGAACTGAGGAACAGATAAAAACAAGTTCCATGAGGATTGAATAGAACAGGATAAAGAGCTAATGTCTATTGAATGGGTTGAGTCCTCAGCATAGGAGTTGGAATGAGATTCAGCTAAGGCATAATGGAAAGCAGATCAAAAAGAAATCCACTTATAAATGGATGCCTTCTGTTTTCAACACTCGCTGATTACACAATGATGGCAGTTAGCGCATACCAATGGTGGGTCAGAATGGATTACAATAACAAAATACACCAAGAGCTACATTGCGATGATGTTCACTCAATAGTGTGAAAGAGACACTGCCAGCAATGTTACTGATACATATATCCAAAGTATAGGAGATTTTACAAATTATAGTATCTCTGTGAAATTACCCTTGTATGTAAGATCATAAAAATGAGAAGATAAGAAATACAATAGTTGAACTTCAGGAAACATGAGCAGTATTACGCTGTCACGAGTGAGGAATTGGGTTAGAAAGAGACCCATTCTCTTATTTTTCTTAGACCTGTTTCAGATGAGATTGAGACCAAAAATTCCGTACTGCATCCTACGCTGAAAGCTAATTATACTGCACAGATTCAGTACATTTATGAATATTCAATACAATAACGTTTCAATTAGATTGGCACATAAAATGTGCAAAGTAGCAGATAACTTGATACATATCTTAATGTCCTTGGCATTCTTAGATTCCTCAGCATAAAAAAAACATTGGTCATGAACATTTCAAGTATTCTTGTTGAGTGCCAAAATGATTTCTATCAGTTTGCATCCCTGATTTTACGTTTAGCCATATGTGAGTTTAATGATTGTAACGAGGTCAGCCAGCTGGACGTCATAAAGTGAGTTCCCTGGTTGGATAAAATTAACAGCCCCAATCAGGGAGCCCTGGCTGACAGATAAAAAGGGTGAGGGCCAGAGATACAGACACTCTGGTGCCTGACTCTGTATGAGGCATTACTAAAGTCAAGGAGTATTCATGTTTAAATAACGGGTGATTTGATAATGGGATACCAGCCTCTATGGAATTATTTCAGAGAGGAACAGTGATTTTAGGGCCTGGTTTATGCATTTTCCGTATGGTGATTTTTCAGTAACTGTTTTGTGGAGCAATTATGGATATGGTTACAGTTGTTTATTTAGCACATCCATGTACACCCTCTTAATATGGTCAACAACCCTTATATTTTAAATGGACAGATTAAGAGCAGAGTCAGATTCATGTGCTAATCATTTCTAATTATAAATCAGTCAACAGCAATATCTCTTAATCCTAATACTTATACATTTAAAACTAATACACGAGGGATAGCTTTATATTATATTACTCCTTCTGGCGTTTCATCAACAGAATTAAGACGACTATAACAATAAGTATCACACTGTGTCCTACACAAAGACCTCCTTTCACTAGACTCTGAAATGTTATAATTAACTTGGTCAGCAAATAAGTTTGTATAGCCTTGTTATTTTTATTTCTGCGACCAAGTGTGCATAAATTTTGAGGCTTTTGTTTGCATACCGTTCAAGTACAATGCACTGTATTCTTGTCTTTTCTTGGTGTTTGCCTTCAAGCTATGGTGTCCCCCAACCTCCACCCCACCAATTACATTTTGGGTGTCTGATGTGAATCAGGCCCTTACCTTATTACCTGATTTACTGTGTGTCCTTGTTGTCTTGTTGGAGGCTGTCATTTCCCAAAGAAAATCTGCTCTCAATGTTCCCAG